CCAGATGAGTGACCAGGTTCAAGATTAGTAGGTCCATTAGGCATTACCATGTAACTATAAGCTCTATCTGGACCAAATTTGCATCTAGGCACTTACAGACCTGCTGCTTTGGATACTGGATCTGACCTTTATTTTCCAGATGAGTGACCAGGTTCAAGTTTAGTAGGTCCATTATGCATTACCATGTAACTATAACCTCTATCTGGACCAAATTTGCATCTAGGCACTTACAGACCTGCTGCTTTGGATACTGGATCTGACCTTTATTTTCCAGATTAGTGACCAGGTTCAAGTTTAGTAGGTCCATTAGGCATTACCATGTAACTATAAGCTCTATCTGGACCAAATTTGCATCTAGGCACTTACAGACCTGCTGCTTTGGATACTGGATCTGACCCTTATTTTCCAGATGAGTGACCAGGTTCAAGATTAGTAGGTCCATTAGGCATTACCATGTAACTATAAGCTCTATCTGAACCAAACTTGCATGAATGATGTATCTAAGGATGTACACTACCATACTTGCTTCGATGCTGGATCTGACCTACATTTTCCAGAAGAGTAAACTTAGCCATATTTTAACCAAATTAACTTATGGATGGTGTATATAATGATGGGGATTAGCTTTGAATGACCAGTTTGAGATAGATTTTTTGCTTTTCGACTAGCTTTATATTTATGCCCCTGGATCGAAAGATCCTGGGGGTATATTGTTTTTGTCCTGATTGTCTAGCTGTCTGTCTGCATGTTGTCAACGTGACGAAAATTAACTCCCGACTCTGTAATCATTAAATTTTTCTACATAAAGCATTGTTTTTTTTTTGTAGACGAAGTACAAGAAGGTCAAAATCTGACCTAAGTCTATTTCAATCTCATAATGATGATTATATTAAACTTAAAGGAGTTTATGATTTTAAAAAATCGTATCAATTTACAATTAATCCCTATCATATCAATATGAGGACCTGAAACAGGATAAAACATTCTCCAGCAGATAGACATTTTGATGCTGCTACCGTTTGTATTTTCACGTTAATCGTTATGACTTATAATCGTGATGCTGTTCCAAAACAATACATTTTTACAATACTGTCTCACTATAGTATTAGTTATAATTTCGACTTAAGGTTGAATTCGCCAATTTCATACTTGCAAAGTTGTTTGCATCACGATAACAATCGCCGCTCCAGCTACTTTTGTTATTTCTAACCAATGAAAATTGTCCTTATTTTTTTTATAAAACTGTTGCGTCATATTACCCATAATGCAATATTATTGCACGCATCACTAGATTGTAGAACACACATCACAAGATTTCGAATATACGTCACAAGATTATTGAACATACATCACAAGATTATTGGACATACATCACAAGATTTCGAATATACATCACAAGATATTGAATATACTCGTACATCACAAGATTATAGAAAATACATCACAAGATTATAGAATATACATCACAAGATTTCGAATATACATCACAAGATATTGAACAAACATCACAAGATTAAAGAATATACATCACAAGATTTCGAATATACATCACAAGATATTGAACATACATCACAAGAATATACATCACAAGATTTAGAATATACATCACAAGATTTTGAATATACATCACAAGATTTCGAACAAACATCACAAGATTTTGAATATACATCACAAGATTATCGAATATAGCAACGTTTGACATGCCGTATTCAAAACGCCTATTGAAATTGTTCTTATTGTCATTGGTACATTATGTTACATGCTGTAGTAAATTCATTAAAAAATCATAATTTTCCAGGAAATGTTTTCATTTCCAATACAGTCATCGAATTGTTTTAACTGAGCTTTTTCAAGATAAACAGTTAAAATTACACTGTCAACAATTTTTGCCGTTTTGATTAGCAACGTGTATGACCACCATTTTCAACTTTACATGCTCTCAAGCGGGACCTCATGGGTTGGCATACATATCGAATTGTCTCAAAGGAATGTTATTCCACTCTTCCTGTAGAGCCTGTGCTAATTCTGGTACGTTTGCGGTTTGGCGTTGACGTCTTTTTAAACGTCTTCCAAGCTCGTCCCACATGTGTTTCATTGGGTTAAGGTCGGGAGATCGAGCTGGGAATTCCAAGATGTTAACTCCATAAGTGTTTAAAACGTCGTCTATCAATGATATTGATACATGCCAAAATGATTAAAACAAAATACATAGGCAAGGTATTATAAAATCTAAATTGTGAATTTGTTTCACAGGACATTTTTATATAAGCGTTTTTTAAGTCTCTGAGTATATATCTACAGTAAAGGATCAATTGTACAACTTCATCCGATGAAAAAAGAAACAAACATTAGCAACTTTATATAAATTTGTAACAATGTGAAAATATTGTGAATCGTATGAATTTTATACATCGAAAATGAAATATAATTAACAAAAAAAATATAATGTTATAAATCTATCCATATATCGTGTATTAACTATGATAGGAAACGGTCGCAGAGTATTTTACAGTGTTTTCTCAACAAGACAAAATCAACTCTAAAGCTATTGCATGATGGTCTTAATGTACATCTACATATTTGTCATGATGTAAAAAACACACACTCACACACACATCCAGCAGATGTATTAAATCTTCTAATGCATAATTTTTATTTTTACATGTAAATATATTCTTTTCTCTAAATATGAAAAGGCCTTAAATATAGTAATTAAACTTTTAAAAATCTTTCCATTTAGAATCCTTGTTAAAGGTTTTACAGTGCAATCTAGGTTCTGATTTTGGGATGATCATCGCTCGATGATCTCAGGACATATATAAAATGTTTTGCAAGAATTACACGACAAAAGAAATATTTTGATTGTAAATCACGCATTTCTTTAGCGCGAAGAAAAATTAAATCCAATAAAAATTTGTAATTTTACCCCTATCGTATATCTTCAAGAACTTAACCTCTAAAAACAGTTCAATACACTCTGCTTCTTTTGAGAATGAAACGCATAATGTTTATCAAAAGGCAGATACAATAACCTTGTCAGCAAATACAATTTATTATAGAGTCAAATGCTGACTGACGTTTTTGTCCCCCGCTTTCGCGAAAGCGAGGGGACATTAAATCTCATTCGTCTCTCCGTCTGTCTAGCTCTCCGTCTGTCAGTCTGTCCGTCACAAAAACTTAAACCTTGCCCAAACTTTTGATTTAGTAGAGCTATGACTTTCATATTTCACATGTGTATTCCTTGTGACAAGGCCTTTCTTTGGGTACCACCAATTTGACCTTTTGACCTTGACCTTGGAGTTTGACCCACTTTTACACAGAAATTTCAAATTTTTACTTTGGCCATAACTTTGGAATGGATGGTACTAAGACTTTCATATTTCACAAATATATTGTTTGTGGCAAGACCTTTCATTGGATACCAACAACCTTGACCTTGGAGATATACGTACTTATGAAAAAAAGTTAACCTTGACCATAAGTTTTGAACGTTGAGGACTAAGGCTTTCGTACTTCACATATGTAATCCTTGTGAGAAGACCTTTTATTGGATACCAAGAACTTTTACCCTTTGACCTTGACCTTGGAGTTTTAACTACTTTTTAAAAACTTTAACCTTGGTCACAACTTTTAAACAGTAGATACTAGGACTTTTATATTTAACATATGTATTCTTTGCGGCAAGTCCTTTCATAGAACACCAACAACCTTGACCTTTGAGATTACGTACTTATGAAAAAACTTTAACCTTGACCATAACTTTTGAACGATGAGGGCTAGGGCTTTCGTACTTGGTTTAAGAAGATCTTTTATTGGATACCAACAACTTTTACCCTTTGATCTTGACATTGGAGTTTTAACTACTTTTTTAAAAAACTTTAACTTTGGTCACAACTTTTGAACGGTAGATACTAGGACTTTTATATTTCACATATGTATTCTTTGTGGCAAGTCCTTTCATTGGATATCAACAACTTTGACCTTTTGACCTTGACCTTAAAGATTTACGTACTTATGTAAAAACTTTAACCTTGACCACAACTTTTGAACGGTAAGGGCTAGGGCTTTTATACTTCACATATGTAATCCTTGTGAGAAAACCTTTCATCAACAACTTTTACCCTTTGATCTTGACCTTGGAGTTGACCTACTTTTATAAAACGTTAACTTTGGCCATAACTTTTTAACGGTCAGGATAAGGGTTTTCATCCTCCAAAAAAATCAACTTCAATGATAATTTCTATGAAATGACATATGATAGGATGTTCATATTACACACAATATGTCATAAAAAATAACATCTCACCAACAAAGACACCGAAAGCGGGGGACCACAATTCTTTGAATTTGCTTGTTCAAACTAATTGTTAGTCCATTTTTATACAGTGAATTGACGACGGAATTAACCCTTATTTTCCGACATCGAGCACACGCAGAGGGTGTGACAATTCGGCAGTGGATATTCACTCCTTCATGGCACCTGATCCCACCTCTGATATTTTGAAGGTCCGTAGTTTTCTCTGCTCCTATTTTGTATTGTTTTATTAGTTTTGACATTGAATACTGTTCGTTATCTCCATATTCTTCACGCAGAAGCTAAAAAAAAATGACCTGAATCGACCATACTATAAATATATATTTTTCTAATTTTCCTTCATTTGATGTTATTTTTCGCTAATAAAAAATGATTTATAAAACATAATTCTGGAACATACACCCATTCTATAACAGTAGAGGAGTAATAATAGATAGCTTTTGTTTACCTTTTATATTTTTTAAATTTTGTATTAAAAGAATAGAAGAATATTATTTTTACCTTCTGCCATGTTTTGAAGAGAAACAACCCAAAAAGGGTATGCCTATTATTTTATGTGCAATGATCCACTACACTACATATACCGCGGTGCTGATAAGCCCCTTTAATATTCGTACACAAATCTGATTCGCTATTCTATAAAAAGAAAAAAAAAATCACGACGTGGCTTTAACATAAAAGCGAAATGGCGGCAGCAGGTAATACACATATATATTGTCTTTGCTTTTGTATTTATATATTTAATATTGCCCATTTTTAAAACTTGATGTATGAAAAGAATAACTTTGCTTGTGAAAGAAATACAGATTTTTATGTTTTCCCAATCAGACACCTACCTGATACTAGTATGTACCCCATCTTCAAACATTTCGATCTAATTCTATTTAAGGGACTCCTATCCTCAACCAGGAAGGACTCTTTAATTTATAATTCAATTTAAAAAGTCTTAAAATGAAGCTTGAAAAATAAATCTTTTCATGCAACAATCTTCATTTCTCAATGTGCTCCAAGGTTCTTTGAAGTTCTCAGAAAGGTCTAATTAAAAGTCGAAATTTTTACCCCGTAAAAGCATTTTAAAATTAAAATATATCAAGAGATTGATGTTCATTTTTATCTTATCATAGATACCAATGTTTATTTACATGATATGAAATTATAATTAATTATGGAGCTTTGCAATGACAAGAGAAACTTTATACACTTTGCATTGTAAAATGATCGAAGTAAATAAAAGAAATTAAATGACATTATATGTATAAAAACTGTGGAATATCTTCGAAAGCCCAAATTTGAATTGGAAAATGCAGGTGTTATATTCAATGACTTTAAACAAACTTGAAATCTACTAATTTTTTCTAAATAATATGATTAAATTGAAAGATGAAGTTTGAATAATTACTATGGGTAAAAACACGTTGCTTTGAAAATTCAGAGACATTTTTGTGAGCATTTTCAATTAGTCAACGCTTGATTTTTGGAACCTGAGGATCGGAGTAGCTTAATTTAATTTTTTGCAACTTACCATTTTCACATTATTATCTCCTAATCCTTATGTGTCAAAGACTGTATATATATATAATATCATTTCAACGTTTTATCATCAACGTCAAATTGGACGTCACTTAAAATTTACTTGATATCGCAAGAGTTATCCCCCAAAATGTTGTATATGTTTGCCATTCATCAAATTGAATATGCGTATTTTTTAAGTTAATAATCTTACCTATTACTGTCTAGGTAATGATATAGAAAATATTTGCAAAGTAAAGCACTACTGTCCATTAATTTTTATAGACATCTTCGGTATAAAGACATTCACAAAATTATACCATGATTGAAATAAGAGAATATGTTTGCTTTAAGAAGACCGATATATTTAGAATGCAATGCAGGGGTAATAATATTATTTATGTAGACACATAGAGGAGTAATGCGGAAATATGTGGGGTCTATGGAACGCCGTCACTGCCTTATAGGAGAACACAACAATTGCATTGCGTCATCCTTCCATGACATTATGTGAACACTTTATGACATTTACTCACACTGCTATTGCATTGTGTCAACCTACGATTACATTATGTTAACTCTTTATGATATTCACACAACCTACTATTGTATTGTGTCAACCTTTCATTACATTATGTCAACTCTTTATTATATAGACCCACAATACTATTGTATTATGTCAACATTTCATTACATTATGTCAACTCTTTATGACATTAACCCACAATACTATTGCATTATGTCAACCTTCCATTATATTGTGTCAACTCTTTATGACATTAGTCCACACTACTATTGCATTGTGTCAATCTTTCATTGCATTATGTCAACTCTTTATGACATTTACACACACTACTATTGCGTTATGTCAACTTTCCATTACATTATGTTTAGTCTTTATGGCATTAACTCGCACTTTAATTACATTACGCCAATCTTCTATTGCATTATATCAGCTCTTTATGACATTAAGTCAAAACAATTTTACGTGGTGTAAAGATGTTTTTATATATTTTCAACTCATTATTACATTATGTGCACACTCTACTATTTGGTCTTAGTAGTTCATTACATGATGTCAATTTTTCCTAACTTTTTGACAAATCATTATTATGTTATGCCATTGTATCTTTATATTGTGTCTAAAATGGTTAGCCTCTTGTCAGTATATCTTAGAATATTTCAACTCTTTATTGTGTGACGTAAGGTTTAGGTTATGCCTAAAAGTTCGTTTCGTGTTTTCAATATTACTTGCACATATGTTAAACATGCAAATAATTTAAATTAAATATATCAAATATTAAATTATATACAAGACTTAGTAATTCCTTAATTAAATATCAGGTTAAAATTTATAAATAGGATCATGTTCCCGTGGAATCTTTATTGACGATTGTTTTTTTTTAACGTCGAAATTCAATCAATGGCCGTTTAATCTCATAATTATCGCAAATCAAATAGAATGTGTAATGCAGCAATTTTTTTCATTTTATTTTGAAAAGTCCGAAACTTCTGATCTAACTACAAAACACTGTCCTAAGCTTTTTATCAGTCTTTAACCCTCCTTTGTCTTTCGCATTTCATACGTGCACCGATGTGTGGGTGGGGAGAGGGGGGTCCCCCCTCTCATCTTTAGTGACCAAAATATGCATGAAATTAATCAATTGGTTTTACTTTGTAGGACATTGCATTAGTTTCACATAAAGTATAACCGAAATAAGTTGAAACGTTTTATATATAAAAAAAACACTAAAGCCTGAGAGCTTCCAGGCTTTCACCCCCTGGTCCCCAACTTAGACACCATACCGTTCCTCTATAGCTACTCTTTTTCAAGAACCAGTGAGGGACTGGTAGAATTTTGTAACAGAATTCTGGACCTGGAATGGTTGAAAAATGACTAGTTCCAGTGACGTTGCATCGTTTTTGAAAGTTGGAGGAGGTTTGTCAGCCAGGAAAAATATAACGTCCAAACTCAAAAATCCTATTTGGGTGAAAGGGGAGGGGGGGGGGGTCCAATTTCGATCAGTCCTAAAAAAAATTCCCTGATACTTCAGCAAAAAGTGGGGCGGAATTTCAAACCCCTTCAATAAACATTTTCTATGATAAAATTATGTCGGAAAAAAAGAGGAAACCAGACCCCCCTTATATAATGTGTCTCTAATTCGTCCTAATTAATCAGAACACCCCCCCCCCTTTCCCGTCGTGAAAACACGGTTATCAACTTTGACATAATGTAAATGTATTTTACACCACGTAATGAACATTTGAATCAACATGATGAAGAGTTAACACAATATAAAGATATTCTTAAATCATATAAGAAAGATTTGACATAACGTAATTATATATCCACATCACGGAATGGAGTTTTGACATAATGTAATAAAGTGTTGATATAATATGGAACGCCGGGGCTGTCTCCATAATATATGTTCACATTATGTTATAAACCTTTTTACATCACGTAATAAAGCACCGACATAAAGGTAAGATGTTTTCACCTAACATTGTGATGACCTCGACGTAAAATAAAGATACATTTACATCACGTAATAATGCTTTGTTATTATAGAAATATACACTCACACAAGGGAATGAACTTTGACTTAACGTTATGATAAATTTAATCATAGAACACATGTAAAACGAAATTCACTTGACGTAATGCAATTTTGACCTCGCATATTAAAGAAATGAAATAATATTAACATACATTCATTTCACGTAATAAAGTTTTAGCACAATGTAAACATATTTTCACTTCACATAATGAACTTTGGACTTCAAGTTATGAAGTGCTGACATAATGGAAGAATGTGTTCACTTCATGTAATGAAGCATTGACATGATGTAAAGACATTTTTACAACACCCCATAAAAATTGACATAACGTAAAGATATGTTCACATCACGTGATGATAGATTGACATAATGAATGCATAGTTTTATGCTATAAGGCAGTGATGGCGTTCCATAGGGGTCCTTGATAAAATCCATATTGGGCAAGGACGTCAGTGATGAAGCTCCATGCGGGTCACATGAAAACAGCAGGCTTGGGGTCAATTACTTTGAAATGTAATTAATTACTTTCAAATACATTGATAATTTTGTCAATTACTTGCAATTACAATTACATTGATTTTTTCAAATGTAATTAATTACTTTCAATTACTTTGACAAATGTAATTAAATACATTTCAATTACTTTGAGTTTTATTTTTTTAAAAAAAAATAATTTTTTTTTTAAATAAGATTTTTTCTATAGCGATCGAATTCGAACTTTCATTCAGTGTTTTTGTTCTTGGGTATGATAGGGGTTCACACCTGGTCAAAATTAGACCTTTACTTTATAATGAGTGTGACACACTGTATAAACAAATTAAACATTATGAGACAATTAATTATTTTACAAACACAAACCCATGCTACACCAGTATGATGTATGGCATGATCTTTTTTGTTACTTTCTCAAATCCATATTTTTGAAGGAAATGAATAATATCTATCACAATTCCATTCATTATTTTCTATCTTAAAATGAATAGAATACAGGTAAATCTAAAAGGGGATGTAGTTTGTCTAATTACTGTAAAACAAATTAACTATCTAAACAATCATTGTTATTTGCAAGTGGGAATAGGATGAACTGAGATTTATAAAACATGGGAATAAGTAATATAAACCCACTAGTATAAAACTATGTATCAGTATAAGACACCTTTTTAAATATAAACTTTATTTTGCAAAAAAGTAATTGAAATGTAATTGAAAAGTAATTGAAAATACATGACCTTTTTTGAAATGTATTTAAATACATTCAATTACTTGTAATTGAAGGCTTGCTCAAATACAAATTACTTCCAATTACTTTGAAAAATGTAATTAATTACACTCAATTACAATTACTTTATTCAATTACCCCATCCCTGGAAAGCAGTATATTGATGATGTGTGGCTGGTAAATTTTAAATATATGGTGGGTTGGTCACGTCGAGGGGGCACATTAGCAATATGAGGTGGGTAGACAGCATAACACCGTTTCATGCAGTATTGCTCTTGACTAATGAAATTTCACGATTTTTATCAGAGGCAGGATAATGATGCATTCAGAATATTCTAATTTGACTAAATCAGTGATCCAATTTGACGTCGTAGTAGGCAAAATGACGTCAATTACAGAACACAAATTTTTGTGATATTGATATTTAAATTTGTTTTTAGTTAAGGAAAATGAATAAAAAAATGTAGAAATTAACATTTAAAATTTATCATGTTATGCTGTATCTGTCATTTGGATTAAATCGACGACCGATGACGTCATAAATGTACATCAAATAAGTTGGGAATATATAATGTTGTGTAAAGAGAATTTAGCTAAGAAGGCATGTTCAAAGACGCGTAAAATGTAGTTTAGAAGCAAATATCGTGAATACTATGTGAATTTTATAGGGAGTGAAGGTTTAAGGTTTATTAAACGTATACGGTTATTTATTTGCTTTCGAAAACAATCAGCTATTACCGTTTCCCGGTAGGCCTTTCCTCTGTCATTCGTGACAAAAATAATGCAAAAGAACCAACAGTTAGCTGGACATTCCAAAACACAAGATCTGTAGAGATTGAAAGCTAAACTTCTAAAATACTTGGAAATTTAAGTGCTGCTAGAATCCCGAGGTAAGCATGGTTTTACAAAAAAATCTCGGGTCATATGTATAATTTTCAAAACATCGGGTAAGGATTCTCGCGAATGTGTGGAACAATTATTTACTTATCGGACATTGAGATTCTAGCAGCACTGTTAAGGCATAATAGATTTTTTTTTCAACTATATTATTTACTCAAAGAAGTTAATTATTAAACTCCGGGGTATTGTTGTTCTGTTAGCTTTCTTATTAGGAAACATTTCGCTATTAATAGAGTAACGTGATACCGTGGTGATGGTGCACTTCTTTGCCTTAGACACATTTTTATGTTTTATGCAATTGTTAATATATTTGTGGTATCTCTCCATTATATAAACATACAGAGAGATAATAATTTCAATTATGTATGAAGTTTGTCAGAAGTCAATACGTGACCTAATCACACGGTGCAATAATATCTACCGATACATAAATTATAAAATAACATGCTCTACTTGCTTTTCATGTATAAAAATCAACAAAATAAACAATTAAATTGATAATTATTTTATTTTAAATGTAAACAAATATTTCATATAGTTTTTGGTCTATCGATTCAACCTGTGTACATAGAGAAAACTAGGAGCCTAGCTTTTGTTTACATTTTTCTTCACTTTTGTCGGCTGCACAGTCTCTAACGTTCATCCTAATTTTTTAAGGAAAACCTTTGGTAAAATTTTCATGATAAACTTTTATTTTAACTTTAAATTTTACTCACGATAAATGTGTAAATCTGTTGAAAAATATCATTGCAATCATGCCATGAACAGCTGCCAATCACCTCGGCGTTTTCACAGTTCAATGTAAAGCTGTCGCTAGTTTCTACGTGTTTATCAGTGTTTTACGATAAGTATGCCTTTAGTTACTGAAACCATAGAATGTTTTTGATCAAATTGCAAATTAACTGGCTCGGACAACTGTCTCAATCCATCGGATCCATCCATCCCTTTCCGGCGACCGAAATTCCTCCAACTTTTTATCATCAAACTTCGGACGTGTTTCTTGTGTCTTTTCAGCATCGATTATCATTTTTCACGAATAAAAATGTTCCCAGACAACAATCTGTTCACTATAACTGATCACAAGTAGCCTTTCACAAAATATTCCCTTCGAAATAGATTCCTTAACCTAATGCATGCAAAGCGTAACCGCCATGCAAACCGATTTACACCTTGCGTCATTTTTCAAAATCTACGACGGACGGTTAGTGCCATAATTTAAATTCAAAAATATTGAATTGTCTGTATCAAATGTATATATATATATATATATATATATATATATATATATATATATATATATATATATATATATATATATATATATATATATATATATATATATATATATATATATGTGTGTGTGTGTGTGTAAGTAATAAATAACAAGTTTATAAACTTCAATGGGAAATGAAGTGGTAGGTACGTGATCAAATCTCATGAGAAGGCCTTCGGCCTTAACAGGATTTAATCACGTGACCGATCCACTTCAATTCACATTGAAGTTTATAAATTTGTTATTTATTTCTTAAATAATAGTTTACGTTCTATCAGCGGCCTTGGCAAGTTATTAAACTGAAGGGGCCGACTGTGGTTTCCATTGCGCATCATAGTAAAAATGAAGCGTATTATCTGTTTTAAAGCAACTTTTTGCGCTTAATTATTAAAATTAAACAAAATTAAGAAATTATAGATATAAAAATGTATTACAATTTTATATAACTGATTTTTTAGCCGATTTTGTAATTGATAGGTAGGTTGACGTCGTTACAGTATGTTTTGACGTTATTATAAACTGAAACTCTTAAAGAAAGGGGTAATAAAATGTTATTGAAGAAAAAGTAATAAACATACGCACGTAAAATTTCAAACATAGAAATTTGAGAATATCTCCATTATTTTTAATATGTTTTCATATGAATCCTTTGTTTCCGTCACATTTTGTACTATACGCAGGTACGTTAAGGAGGCATATAAGTCATTTTAAAGAAAATTAAGTTTGATTATTTACCAAAACTGCTGATAAACGTGAACTATAATTCTTTATTACATAAAGATAACATAGTGTCTAACGCAACGACGTGCACCACAACCACGCCATCATTTCCTTAATAAAACAGCTAACAGAACAACAATACTCCGGAGTTTAATAATTTCTTTGAGTAAATAATGTAGTTGAAAATATGTGTTTTGCCTAAAACGTGCTGCTAAAATTCCAATGTCCCGTCAGTAAAATAAATTTTCCACACATTCGCACAAAACATTATGCGATGTTTTGATTTTTTTTTTTTTACATATGAACAGCATACTATGGTGGCATATTAATGCCATCCACATAATTTTTCGTCAACATAGCATATCATGTCAAATCAAGATAACTATCGCGTCAAGTCATGATAACTTTCTGATTTGTCGACAAACACCGACTTTATATCTTGTCAAGTCAAGATAAGCTATCTATCACGTTTTGTTGCAATAGCCATCTTGACATGACGAGATAACTTTTAATCGCTATACAAGACAAATTATCTCGTTTTGTCTAGATAGCTATCGAAAAAATACGACAGCTTATCTTGACTGTACAATATAAAGTCGGTGTTTGACGACAAACCAGAAACTTGACGCGATAGTTATCTTGACTTAACGTGATATCTTACGTTGACAAAAATTATGTGGATGGCATAAATATGCCACTAGAACAGGGATTTTTCATAAAACCATGCTTAACTCGAGATTCTAGCAGCACGTTCCAAGTATTTTAGGTGTTAAACTTTCCATTTGTATAAATCCTATGTTTTGAAATTTACAGCTTATTGTTGTTCTGTTTTTTTTTTTGGTCACAAATGACAGAGGAGAGGCCGACCGGGATACGTATATAGCTGACTGTCTTCAAAAAAAAATATAATCGATGAATATAAATTAGCAAACCTGTTTTATTAACAGAACTCCATATAAATTTCACAAAATATTCACAATATTTGCTTTTAAACTCCATTTTACGAATCTTTGTACATGTTGCCTTAGCCAAATTCTCTTTACACTGATCAATTCCAAAGTTACTTGCTGTACACATATGACGTCATTGATGGTAGATTTCAATCAAAATGACAGAATACAGCATAACAGAATAAGAACATTTCATTTTTGTTAATATTTACATGTTTCTATTCATTTTCTAGAGTTAAATTACATTGTTAAATACCAATATTACGAAACTTGTGTTTTCGAATTGACGTCATCTCGCCAACTATGACTTCATAATGTCGCACTGATTAAGTCAAGGTAGAATATTTTGTATGCTTCCTTATTTCCCATGCGCACTCTATAAAAACAGGAAAATTCGTTAATTTTTGGCATTTTGAGATGCCCCCTCTGGCAACAAGAAGGTAGAATTTTGTGTTTCTTACATATATGGTATAATATAGTACTACACATCAAATATCATAGTTTGAACAAAAAGTCTAATGTAGCATTGGTATAATTTGCTTTAAAGTGCTAAAAATTGGCATTTCCCTACATAATCCTTTGGTAAATATACCTGTATTTAAAAACACCTGGACGGTAGTTTTCCCTCAAACTTTGCATATACACTGAAGAAAATGTAAGTTATATATGGTATAAAAATGAAAAGTTTCGCTATTGTAGTTTTCACACAATAAAACCACAGTCAACGACAATTTGAAAGCTTCCTTTACATACCCGCGAACAAAAGCAATTAAAAAAAAAACCTTTATCTGCAATATCATTATAACTAAGGAATGAAGTCTATAAATACTATTGTAGATTTTTTTAAAAAAACCTCAAAAAGTCAAAACATTATGATTTTTAGGTACACAGAATACGTCTATTGAAGTCTTATTCATTGGAGAATGTGGATCTGGAAAAAGCACCACTATTAATAGTCTTCTGGGAAAGGAAGTGACCAAAGGAGGCAAAACGTTTCTTCTAAATGGCTTGACAAAAAGTGTTATGGCTTGCTACAGCAAATGTCCATCCGATCTAATATTGATGTTAGGTGAAACAATATTCTACGTTTCCTCATAGTATGAATTATTGTTCTTGAAGATAAAATTACTGATTAAAGAACCAAATAAAATCTTGATTATTTTTTTCAGCAGACAATTCCAAAACAGGGATACAAGATTCTAAAGAAGAAGACGGAACTGAAACACTAATATACCATAGAAGAGGCATACCTAAACAAACAAAAATATTAAATGCTGAGGTAAAATTTGCTATACCTGAACAAGGAACTGAAGAAAAATCAAGCTATCAAATAGATACATCAGCAAATATTAAGACATTTAATGCTGAGGAACAAGATACTAAAGTCAAAGAAGGATTTGAAGAGACATCACATCATCAATCAGACATACCAGCAACTATTGAAATATTGAACTCTGAGGATAAAGGTTCCAAAGCCAAAAACGATTCAGAAGTAAAAACGATCCATCAAGTAAATACACCAGCAAATATTGAGACATTGAACGCTGAGGAACAAGATTCTAAGGACCAAAAAGAAGCGAAAGACAAATCCAACCTTCAAATAGGTTCACCAACAAGCACTAAGACATTTAACCCTGGGGAACAAGATTCTAATGCAAAAAAGGGAACAGATAAGAAATCCGACCAACAAGTAGATATACCAACAAATATTGAGAAATTTAACGCCGAGGAACAAAATTCTATAGCCAAAAAAGGAATGCAAGAGATATGCAGCCAACCAGTTTATGAATCAACCAACATTGAGACACTGAACCCCGATGAACAAGATTCTAAAGTCATAACAGGAGCTGAAGTGATATCCAACCATCGAGTAAATACACCAGCAAATACTGAGACATTGAATCTTGGGAAAGAAGATTCTGAAGCCAAAGACGGAAAGGAGAAGAAATTCAACAACCAAGTAGATATACTAACAAATGTTAAGACATTAAACGCTAAGAAAGAAGATTCCAACCCCAAAGAAGGAACTGAAGAGAAATCCAACCATCAAATAGGTAAATCAACAAACATTGAGTCTTCTAACCCTGGGAAACAAGATTCAAAAGCAAAGGAAGAAACTTTAGCGGAATCGAACCACCAAGCAGATATACCAGTAAAAATTGAGACATTGAACTCTGAAGAACATAACACTGAAGCCAAAATAATAACTGATGGAAATGAAGAGAATTCCAACAATCAAATAGGTACATCAACAGACATTGAGACATTAAACTCTGCGGAACAAAAACATACAGACAAAGATGGAACTGATGAGAAATCCAACTATTATATCGAGGAATCAACAAACATTGAGACATTGAACGCTGAAGAAAACGGTTCTAAAGCAAAAGAAGAAAATAAAGAGATATCCAACCATCATGCAGATATATCAGCAAACATTGAGACATTGAACTCTCAAGAAAGAAGATCCTAGAACCATTGAAGGAACTGAAGAGAAATCCAACTATCAAATAGGAAAATCAACAGACATTGAGTCATCTAATCCTGAGGAACAAAATACTAAAGCCAAAGAAAATTGAAAAGAGAAATCCAACCATCAAATCGATGAATCAACAAACATTAACACATTGAACTCTGAGGAACAAGATTCTAAAGGCAAAGAGGGAACAGAAAAGAACTCCAACCATCAAATAGGTACATCAACAAACACTGAAGCATTAAACCATGACAAAAAGGATATGCCAAAAAAGATACGGAAGTGATATGTATCCACCCAGTCTATGAATCTAATAACACTGAGACAATGAATTCTGAGGAACAAGATTCTAAAGTCAAAGAAGGAAATGAAGAGAAATTCAACCATCAAGTAGATATACCAACAAGTATTGAGACATTGAAATCTAAGGAACGAGACTCCAACACCAAAGTAGGAACAGAAGAGAACTCCAAACATCATAAACGTACATTAACAAACACTGAGACATTTAACCCCAACAACAGGAATCTAATTCCAAAAAAATAACAGAAGAAATATGCATCCATCAAGTCGATGAATCAACCAACATTGAGACAATGAACTCCGAGGAACAGGATCCTAAAGTCAATGCAGGAACTGAAGAGAAATTCAATCGTCAAGTAGATATACCAAGAAGTATTGAGACATTGAACTCTAAGGAACGAGACTCCAACACCAAAGAAGGAAATGAGAACTCCAACCATAAAATAGGAAAATCAACAGACATTGAGTCATCTAACCTTGAGGAACAAAATACTAAAGCCAAAGAAGGAACAGAAGAGAAATCCAACCATCAAATCGATGAATCAAAAAACATTAACACATTGAATTCTGAGGAACAAGATTCTAAAGGCAAAGATGGAACAGAAGAGAAATTCAACCATCAAATAAGTACATCAACAAACACTGAGACATTTCACCCTGTCGAACAGGATTATAATGGCAAAGAAGGAACTGAAGAGAAATTCAACGATCAAGTAGATATATCAACAAGTATTGAGACATTTAACTCTAAGGAACGAGACTCCAACACCAAAGAAGAAACAGAAGAGAACTCCAACCATCAAAAAGTTACATCAACAAATACTGAGTCATTTAATCCTGACGAACAAAATACTAAAGGCAAAGAAGGAACTGAAGAGAAATCCAACCATCAAATCGAAGAATCAACAAATATTGAGTCATCTAACCCTGGGAAACAAGATTCAAAAGCAAAAGAAGAAACTATAAAGGAATCCAATGATCATGCAGATATACCACTAAATATTGAGACATTGAACTTTGAAGAACAAAACACTAAAGCCAAAAGAAAAACTAATGGAAATGACGAGAACTCCAACCATCAAAAAGGTACATCAACAAACACTGAGACATTTAACCCTGACGAAAAAAATTATAATGGCAAAGAAGGAACCGAAGAGAAATTCAACGATCAAGTAGATATGTCAACAAGTATTGAGACATTGAACTCTAAGGAACGAGACTCCAACACCAAAGAAGAAACAGAAGACACCTCCAACCATCAAAAAGGTACATCAACAAACACTGAGACATTTCACCCTGACAACAGGATTATAACGGCAAAGAAGGAACCGAAGAGAAATTCAACGATTAAGTAGATATATCAACAAGTATTGAGACATTGAACTCTAAGGAAAGAGACTCCAACACGAAGGAAGGAAATGAAAAGAAACCCAACGATAAATTAGGTAAATCGGCAAAAATTGAGTCATTTTACGCTGGTGAACAAGATTCAAAAGCAAAGGAAGAAACTCAAGAGGAATCTTAACGATCAAGGTACTGAATCAACAAACATTGAGACATTGAACCCCAAGGAGCAATATCCTAAAGCCAAAGTAGAAACTCAAGATGAATCAGAAAATATGAAGACATTTTCAGCTGTAAAACAAGTTTCTAAAGGCAATGAAAGAAGTGGAAGGACAATTAACGATAAAAAGAATTTATCTAATAAGGTGTCAGAAAGAGTTATTATACCCAATAGATCAGAAGACATCAATCAAACTGCTACAAATGAGGGTAAAGCAATGGATCCTGTCAGAGACAATGTGAAAAAAAATTCCACTCACGAAGAAAAAAAAAATGATTGTCTAATTTTAGAAATGAACAGAGAAGAGTATGCCATGAGTGAGAACTTGATCACTCTTTACGATACACCGGTTTTAAAAGAAGCTGTTGATACTATTGTTTATGAAAGAAAATATTTTCATGCGGTTGCACTGTGTTCCCAATGACAAGATATACAGAGGAGAGAAAAACATTTTTAAAAAATGTCCTGGAACTTTTTGGAGATGAACTATTTGAACACTTAATTATAATTTTCACTAAACCTGAAAACTTAGTAGTAAAAGACGAGATAGAAGGACTATCAAAACAGGATAAATTGTTTGAAAAATTTCTAACAAAGACAGGAGAAAGATATATTGTGTGTTCTAAAGATCATAGTGAAAGGAATGAATTTTGCAATTCTTTTTATGAGAAGCTGAAAGAAATATTATGCAAACATGGACAAAAACGCATAACCATGAAAAGGAAGAAAACTGTTCTTTCTGCTTTTAAACGTTTGATAAGAATCACATAAAAAAAAATGATTGAATGATTTTATACATTATCAATTTAAAACGTGAAAAATTATATGTCTTCTTTGTGAGTCAGTGCAAATTTAGTTCTTTTGTCCTTTACAATTAGTATATGATTTAAAATAGTTTTAGTGTTTTTAATACATTTTAACATATAGTACTATAATAGTAACCTCTAGTTTCACATAAATTGTAAGGGATATTTAAATTAAGCGATCTCGCCATCCTCACTAAAAATACCAAAATTGAATCCTCACTTAAAATTCAACCTATTTTTGTAAAATATAAAAGAATTGTTGTACTGAAAGAGCCAAATTTTATTAATACATGTGTAGAATTATATGAAAAAAAATGTATAACAGTTTCTACAGATAAAATATACGAAGACAACGAACAATATTCAGGGTCGGAAGTCCATGAAACAATACAAAGAAAAAGTCTCAATAACGCATCACCTGTGGTCCCCGGTTACTCGTCAATTTTTTCAACCATCATTAAAATCCTTAAAAATTACATTATATTATTCTCTTATGTCTGTAGTTTATGCGCCAGGGTTTAAAAATATCAAATAATTGCAATAGACGACACGCGAAGCTGTGTTTTGAAGGTGGGGTTCTTTGATTTTCATGAATATCAAAAGAAATTTGTGACAGGTACCCACTTCGCGGCTTTCGTAGACATCGAGCGCAGATTTGTTCAACGTCGAGATCGAAATATAATGTGAATATTATATCTAAAAAAATTGTGTGAAAATATCTTTGTTGAACAACCTTGCTCTCTGTGTTTTCTACTTACACATGTAAAAGTATAAGGATTTTGAATCTGATCGGTGAGCACATTTACATACCATTAACCTGTTGTTGACCTATTAAGAATAGATAATATGTCACGTAATCCATACCTTCACAGGTGAATAAATCCGGAATGTGTTCACTTTATTAAGCAATACATGTAGCTTGTATTTGAAAAGTACGATCAACAACTTTTATTTTTAAAATTTAAAACAAAGTTCTCACTAGACTTCGATTAATATCATTTATGTTACACCTTGGGCTTGGATGATTTTCCGGGACATGTTTTAATACTTATTCGTGTAATCGCAATTTTCCGGGGCATTGTTATTGCAAAGAGAAAACGAATCAATATTGTAGTAGATGTTTATAATAAGATACACATTTCATCAACTCGGAAAAATTATTCGGATACTTTATAACAGAATGCAACAAAGAAAATGATTTTTGACTTTGGATGTCATCTCCCAATCTTGTGAAATGTATAATAAGACCGAAAGAATCCGTGTGAAATATAATAAAAATGTTTCTTCATTTCAACTTCTACATTTGAAGTGCATAATTACGTATTTGTACACGTCATGTATTGATCAATTATCGATAAGTTAATAAGAATATTTCTTACAGCATTTAGCGCGAAATCTAGAAATACACATACATGTCAGGAAGGTAGTATCATTGGCAGGGGTGAAACATTGTTTTCTGAGATAAATCTGAGCCCCCCCCCCCTCCCTAAAAATTGTTCCGCCTTTATGTCACTATGAGTAAAAGTTTGACTTCCACTCCTACTTAATAGATTTTATTCGATTTTGGAATCTGGATTCCTCTTTTTCTTTACCTTTATCAAACTTTTGTGTAGTATCTACTTCTTTTCCATTATTTTTCAGCCCCCCTCCCTTTACACACGAAGGGAGTGTATTACTGTGTGTATCTTTGCCGTAAATTAATGTTCGCTCGTTTGTACGTTTTGAATGAAAATATAAAAGAAAAATTAATACAGTGGTTTAAATACTTCGACATTTGATTAAACAATGATAGATTTTAAAAGTATTAAAAGGTGATTATGGGATTTTCAAAACTCCGACTAAAAATACCTCAAGATCGAAAAGAAGACCCCACCCTCTCCAAGTTAAGAAGAATTCGAATAATATCCAAAATCAAAAACAAGCATTACTATTATTATAGTTATCTTATCTCATGCTACAGCTCACAATGCTTTTCTTTAAACAGGTCGAGACCACTACCTTATATGGAAGACAATTTTCAACACGTGACGATGTCTTCGTCACGCCCGTTCTCCAATCAAGTGAAAGAGTCCCAAAGCATAACAGTCTACCATGTTTTTAAGATTCAATGGCTACACGTGGTTTTCGTCGGTTTACTGCACAAAATTTAACTCGTCAGCGGAAAAACTGTAGAGCTTCTTTATCACTTTATTAGACCGAAATTGAAAGATTATATTCTAAAGACACTGCTCCATGCTCACATTTAATATTGGAGTTGTTTTAGAAGATTAAAGCTGACATGAATTCTTAAAAACGCAACATTTTCATCTATGTACGACTTGTTTCATACCAACTATAGTCGTATTCCGCCATATTTTCAGATACCTTGTCTCATTGTAACGATGTATACCCGAATGCGCTCGTTACACTTGAATGATTTTTGGGTTTGGGTATCGACTTGTGCACATCTCCGTTATGTTCTTATTCGTTTCCACTCAAACGAACATAAATAATTTATAAAATAAATAACAACACGTATATAGGTAGGTACAGAAGCGCTCTCGTAAGTGCAGTTTAATATAATACACAAAATATACATTTTCAACGTTCCTCCTTGACAACTCATCCAATCTACAAAACAAAACATATAATTAATAAAACAAACATGATACTTATGAGGGTGGGTGGGCGGGGCAATGTCTGACTGCACTGAGAAAGAGCCTTCGAATGGCATTTAAATCTTACACACGCTAAAGCGTGCGTGCTTTAACAGAATACCTGTAGGACAGGTATTCTATAAATACTTTAACCAATCAGACCGACACTCTTCATATACACTAGATTAACACGTGTCCGTTTGATACACGTGTTATGATAACTTCAATAAATACATTTATGTTCTTATTCGTTTCCACTCAAACGAACATAAATAATTTATGAAATAAATAACAACACGTATATAGGTAGGTACAGAAGCGCTCTCGTAAGTGCAGTTTCGACAATAAAGAAAGAAAAGAAATAAAGATTACAAAGCCAACTGTTTTATCAAAACAGAACGTTTTGATTGTACATTTTCGTGTTCATAACTCTTTTGCATTTTACGACTTCCATGCTTCATGTTTCCTAAGAAGACGATCACTGACACTGGCTGCAGCAGTATCACCGCCTGACCTCAAACCATTTTCCCAACATTTTATAAAATCTTTAGTCCTAAACTATCTTTAACTAAAAATAAATTAATGACGTCTCTGATGTATCTGATAAAAAAAAAAAATATCCAAGTAGCATATTAATCGGACAAGTATCAGAATTCGTACGTGATCATATACACAAAAGGCGCCTTGCTTATAAACATCAGTTTTTATCTTTGCAATTAATAACTTGGATAAAATTCATAAAAAGAAATATGCGACCTTAGAACTAATATCAACAATTTTGAAAAACGTAAAACCCTATATATCCTTACGGAAAATACAAGTACACAATTCATTACATATAATGATTCATTATTTCCACAACACTTTTTTTTTTTATTTATCACAGCTGATAAAATTAAAAGGTTTCTTTTGACATTGTTCTCTTCTAGAACTCTTATACAACCTTCTTATACAAGCTTGTTAGAGTCGGATAATCCCGACACATTGTGGACTCAGGATACCCCATGAGTAGCTTCCACTACTTTACCTGTACATCGTTTTGTATTTCATGCTTTTGACTTCAGGCAGCGGTTGGGTAAGGGCTCCACAATAAAAGGATGGAGCCTGAGTGCTGTTAAACAAAGATGTTCACCCACCAACCCAAAACAATTCTGCAAAACGTACACAGTAAATAAATTCAAAACAAAAATGTTAATTCAAGACAACAGTGTAAATCTGCGTGTATCAGGGCCTTGTCACTGCAATACACAACTTGATAAACTCTGTTTGATAAACATGAATTGAATTTCCAAAGCTGAGAAAACAACATTCAAACATCAGCAGTACAATAATGTTCCAGGGCCATTAAC